CCGCGGGGTCGGGGCGCGGCGCGCGGGCGCAGGTCTATGTCGCGGGCGGCGGCGGCGGCGGCGGCCGCGCAGGGACGATGCGCGAGTACAAAGTGGTGGTGCTGGGCTCGGGCGGGGTAGGCAAATCCGCCCTGACCGTGCAGTTCGTGACCGGCACCTTCATCGAGAAATACGACCCCACCATCGAGGACTTCTACCGCAAGGAGATCGAGGTGGACTCGTCGCCGTCGGTGCTGGAGATCCTGGACACGGCGGGCACCGAGCAGTTCGCGTCCATGCGGGACCTGTACATCAAGAACGGCCAGGGCTTCATCCTGGTCTACAGCCTGGTCAACCAGCAGAGCTTCCAGGACATCAAGCCCATGCGGGACCAGATCATCCGCGTGAAGCGGTGAGCAGAGCGGGGCGCGAGGGCTCGGCGGCCGCGGCGATCCCCGCGCCTGGCCCGCGCCGGCTGCAGCACCTCCGGGGCTCCCATCTGCGGGCTTTGTTTCACAACTAAAATCGGGCATCCCGTTGACCCCCCAGCTCAGCCCTTTGTCTCTATCTAGGACGTTGGTAGCACTCCTTCTGGACCCCAGAGCAAACAAAGTTTCAAACTCGCAGGGAGAGAAGGGATGAGTAGGTGGGCGCTGGGGAAAGGGGAGCCGACTAGTGTAGGCACGCCTGTGCGGAGTGAGCACGGGCTCAAATCCACCTTTCATTTGGCCACACAGCCCAGGCTTGCACATACATATCCCGTGACAGTGTCAGTACGAGTTAAGGAGGGGGCTTTCTCAAAGTGGAAAAGGTTAAATGTTGCCAAGAGGTTGGCAGAAACGAATTAGTGTAAAACTTTAAAGACACATTGGCAAATAATGTGAAGACCTCCCAGCATTCAGTGCTGTTGGCATATAGCGGCACGCTTTTGACATTTCCATTGAAAGACCGCAGCTTCATCTCCCTCTGTCTCTTAAAATCTAGCCTCTTTCCCCGCTCAGAAAGGGAAGGAGGCTATTCTTGGAAACTGTGGCTTGTGTATCAGCTAACTTAAAGTTAATGCAAAAAAAAAAAAAAAAAAAAAAAGTTGAGGCAAACAAGCTCTTTCCTGATGTAAAGGGTTCAGAGAGGGCGTTTGGATGTGGCTGGTAGTCGGAATGCTTCCACTCTTTCCTCCTGAGCTGATGCCACATATTTTCACCTTAACTTTAAAATTTTGAAAGTCTAACATGTTACTGCAGAGTTTTGGCAACATTTTCTAGTTCTTCTTTTCTGATCCTTATGAACTGATATGATACTACTGATAATCTTCCAGGATTATTCTACTTGTAGCCAAATTTCAAGCCACTATTGAAAGTTTATGTAGAAACAGTTGCATTTATCAGTCAGGTAGGGTGTGTTCATTTCAGAGGCCAGAGCAAGTTATTTGTGTTCAGGGAATACTCAGAAGTTAATTCCACGTGGTGAGTTTTTATCTCTGTATGTGAGGTGGAAGGAAATGCCCTCCCAGCCACTTGAGTATGATTGTTAACAGCCGTACTGAAGATTTCCGTAGTCTTGTGTTATATTCCAAGAGAGCAGTGGATTTGTTTATGATCCCTTCCGGAAGTCAGTGGTTCTGATAGCTTTAACTTCTCTGGTCTTGCTCTTTGGAAACGCGTTTCCTTGTGCGGCACACACGGGTGGGTGCAAGAATGCCGGTTTTCTGAAGTTGTTTATAGATACAAGTGTCTAGGAGCAGCTGCCCCTCCATCCCACCTCAGTTATGGTCACATGAGTGACTTCCTTAACACAACCACACGCTCGGTGTGGGATGCGAGGGTCTGCGGCGGGTTGCAGTTCCTGGTGACTGTGTGCAGCTCACACTTCTCAGCTTGTTTACTAGAGCAGGCTGGTACCACGACCCAGGACAACAGACTAAGATTCTCCCCACCTAGACCCACAAGCTTTCGCTCTTGGTGTAAGACCATTGATCTGCTGGGATAAATGATCTTGTCCTGAGGACATTTTTCTTTTCTTTTTTTGAGACAGGGTCTCTCTGTCACCTTGACTGTCTTGGAACTCACCATGTAGACCAGGCTGGCCACAGAGATTCCCCTGCCTCTGCCAATGGAGTACTGAAATTAAAGTGCCCACGGCCAGCTTGAGCACCTACTTGTGTGTCTTGTTTTTTGTACCTCACTCTAACTTCATCATTTGCCTTCTGGCTCCATAGCATCTTATCAACTTAAGTCTAATCAAAGAGAGGGTTAGCTTTACGTTTTGCATATTATAGTATATATGGTATACTACAGATATATGTGTTATACTATGGTATATATGGTGTCCTTAAGCCGGAAGTAGGAGGCCCCTAGCTCCTCTCCCTTAAGATGGTAAACATGGTTTTCACATAAACACTCTTTGGAGGACCAGTCTTAACCAGCTAGTTGCTATAGGAAGCATTCGGTAATCCCACCCTCCCTATGTGCTTCACATGTTAGATCTAGCAGTGGGGGATCTAAAGTGCCCCAGTGCAGTTGACACGACTGAAATGCGGAGAATTGGAGCCTCATCCATGACCACTCGCTGATAAGAGGATTTTAAGATCTCTTTGGATGCATGTAGCCTCTTGTCCACAGGTTGTCTTTCAGCTTGGTGTCTTAGTCTTATTCAGCCTACAGCTTGCATGCCAGGATACAATATCCTATATCCATACTGTTGGGTACAAATAGAGTGAGAACAACATGGAAAATTGGGGAATTCGTGGTAGCTGATTTTTAAAATGAGCTAAAAGAAGTAGTACTTTATTAGTACAATTTTAACCAACTAAATATAAAATATTATTTCAGTTTACCATTCAATATTAAAAATATTTAGATATTTTACTTTCTGTGCTGTCCAATAAGTCTGTCATGACTAAACATTATTCAAGTGCTTGATTGCCATAGGGACCATACTGGACTCAGTTTAGACGTGTATGGTTTAGGGAAATACTTGCTTATTTTATAGCCTAGTTGTCCTTTTCTGTGAAATAGGAATCAGAACTCACATGTCAGTGTCATCAAGATGACATGGTGCCAATATAATCCTTGGTGCACAGAAATTGCTAAAAGTTCTTGTTGCCATTCTTTTAACTTTTGTCACTCTAACTTCCTTTAGTTTTACCCTTGGTATATAATTTTAGTTTTAGAGGAAATAGCTCGTATTTGTAATCACAGTTTGAAATTCACTGCCTGTTAAAAACAGTGAGATGGAAGAACAGTGTAAATTAGTCATGGGAAAATATTTTGTTGGTTTTGTCAAATATTTTCTTTTATGGGAGATCTTATGGGAAAAAAGGGCAAGAGAATGAACATTTAACTGAAGTTTTATACGGAGCATAGCAACAGAGAAATGGAGCTTTTCATTGGATTGATACATTCTGGAATGCTTCATTTAAAAAATATTAAAATAAGCCTTTATCTCTTTTTGTGTTACGTATGTGTACGTGCATGCATGCTTGTATGTGCATTCATATAGAGGCCAGAGGTTGGCATGTGTCTTATTCATTTGTCCTAACCCTTATTTCTAAAACACATTTTTTGTTATTATGTCTGTGTGTGTGTGTGCACATGTGGAGGTCAGAGGACAGCTTGACCTTCCCTGAGTGTGGGTTCTGGTTGCCAGACTTGTGCACAGGCATCTTTACCCGGTGAGCCACATCTTAGTCACTGTTCCATTGCTGTGAAGAGACACCATGATGGGCAACTATAAAGAAAGCATTTAATTGGGGCCCAGCTTACTGCTCCAAGGCTGAGTCCATTATCATCAGTGAGGAACATGGTGTCAGGCAGGACATTGGAGAAGGACTTGAGAGCTACAGCCTCATCCACAGGCAGAGAGAGGCAGCCTGGACCTGGCATGGGCTTTTGAAACCTCAGAGCCCACAAGGCCACACCTCCTAATCCTTCCACTCCTTTCACACAGTGATACTCGCTGCTGACTAAGCATTCAAATTTATGGGTCTATGGGAGCATTCTTTTTCAGACCACCACAGCTATCTACCTGTTGTTTTTATGTGTGTGTTTGTCTACAAGTACGCCTACTGCATGCATAGCGTGGAGGTGAGACCAGGGAATTGTAGTTACAGGCGTTTGTATGTTGCCATGTTGGTGCTGAGAACCAAACTCAGTTCTTCTGCAAGAACTTCAAGTGCTCTTAACCTCTGACCCTTCTCTCCTACTACCTCATTTTTTGAGACAGTCTCTTATGAACCTGGAACTCGGTGATTTGGCTGGACAGGCTGTCAGCAAGCCCAGGTTTGCTCCTCTTCGGCCTTCTCAGATACTGGTTTGTGGACGTGCACTGGTGTGCCTCACCTTTACTTAGGCTCAGGGCTCTGAACGCGGGTTCCATGCCTAGATGACAGCGTGCCTAGATGACAGCGTGCCTAGATGACAAGCTCTGTACCAAACGACCCATCTCCAAGCTCCCCTGCTCACGCATACACACTCATGCTCAGCATGGAAGACTTCTTTTCAAAGTCAAATGGACCATCTCAAAGTGGCCTTATGTAGAAATCAGATGCCGCTGCCTCCTCCCTCTCTTCCTCCTTTTCCTCTTCCTTCTCTTTTTTTAACTCGAGTTTGGATCAGACAAAAAAGAGTGGTAGGAACCTATAGTTTAATAAAGCCAGACTTCTTGCTGATGTCATAGTTTTCTGCTCTTACCTGCGCCAGGTTAGTTGTGGTCCAGAGTTGTATCTGGGAACTCACTGTTGCAGGCCTACACCGTAGGAAAAAGCCCCAGACTTTGAGCCTGGCCGTCAAGTGCACACCTGCTCCGGTCCCTTGCCGGCCGTGCACATGCAATCTCCATCAGCATGCTCAGCTGTTTGAAGTTTTCCTCTGGCTTCTGCCTCACAAACTTGTCTTTCTGAAGAGTTAATTTCTACTCATTCTTTCCCCCTTCCTTGAAGGATTTCCCCCTTTCCTCTTAGGAAACTAAATGATTCCTGTCTGGTTTTCTCACATCTGGCCCCCACGCAGGCACAGCAACCGAAGCCCCCGCCACCCTGTCTGTTCTTTCCCTTCACGTTGTAGTTTAGTTACATATCTTTGCTGGGATGTTTTGCCAGCGTTCTCACTGAGCTCTGTGCCCAGGTGGCTAGCATAGCGGCCAGCCTACAGGAAGCAAACAAATAAAAAAATGATGGCAACAGAGGAATGTACAGAAAGGAAAGCGTTTGGATTTAGTTTCCCCAGGCACCTCAGTGTTTCAGGTTGATTTGCAGCGAGAGGAGGTGGTGGTCTGCAAGAGTGCTTCTAGTTAGGCCAGCAAGGAAGATGTCAAAGGTCAGGTGAGCTGTAAAGAATCAGGGAGGATGTCTTCTGGACGGAAGAAATGCATGAAAATGCACAGAGTACTTTCTGAATGTTAACGAGACCAGAATGA